GTTCATTTTCTTCTTAGTTTTAATTCTATTTGACAACTTACAATCACCTCAAAAATTTACTCAAATCGTATATTTGTTCACTTGTTACTTGCATGATTTAAAATCCGTGCCAAATTTATGAGGGATTGATAACAGTTAACGAAAGTGTTATTTCAACTAAGATTACGATTGTTCATCAATGAACACATTCATAGTTTACACAAGATTCAAAATTCAAAGTACTCACATCTCATTTGGTAGTCGTTTTTATTTATTTCCAAAAAAAACCCAATAATTTTCACTATAATAAATAAGTTCTTTGTATTTACTTACAAAATTGAATAATTTAAAATATGTACTTTTACATTTATAAAGCAACTTTAAAATGTTGAACAATAAACTAATAACAAACAACATCAAGCTCAAGCGATACCTTGTTTGATCTACTTCACAGTTTTCAGTCAACATCAGCTTTGTTACAACAGTTTAAGAGGGTGATGAAAAATCACCATGACATCTTAGTGGGAATACAAATGCCCAAAATTATAAGCCAATGGTCTAATAACCTACTAATTAACTATCGAGAACTGAGTTTGATCTATTCAACTTATCGTGTCGGTATAAACTACACGACTAAAATAGTTTAACTACAAGTAATTTATCATTTGATAAATGAATAATGAAACGAAAATTTAAAGTAATATATATATATATATATATACAATACATGATTATATTCACTTTAAATTATAACATAAAATACACGTGAATAATACTTCGAAGTATATTTAGTGTGCATGGTTTTTCAAATTTATTGAATCTGTTAAATATCATTGCTGATTAAATTTAAGATTCATCAATTCAACAATCTGCAAGCCTAATCACATTTTGTGTTAATCTATTTCTTTAGTGCTTTGAATAATGGAATTTTCAAGTAGTTTTTCACAAAGCAGAACTTAATGTATTGTCATAAACCATGTAAATTATTTTTTTCAATAAATTCATAAGTCTAGCTGTTGTAAGATGAAAAATAGAAACATAACTGAATGCAATTCAAACTACTTCTTTGTCCAATCATTTTCTTCCGTTTCGATTCATAAGAAGTTAAATTAAATCAAAATAAGCTATATTTTGATTTATCAATAAAGTACTGAAAGTAAACTCAGTTAACAAACTGATACACAGATAAGGATTGAGTTGCAATTTAAAACCTAAGCTACAGTTGGATTATCTAACGTGTCCTTCAGTGACTCAACTAGAGAATAACTT